GGCCCGGGGTCGAGGGGGCTGGGCCGCCGCCGCGATGCCCCGAACAATGGGCGCTTGGTGGCCGCGGGGCGCGGCGCTCCTGGCTTCGCTGCCCCCGTGTTTTTAAGCGATAGCCCCGAGTTTTGGCGCTCGCAACGGCAACGAGTCCCTCGTATTGCGGGGCCCTGCTGCCAGGTTCGGGTTTCTACCTGCGGGGAAGCAGCGCAAGGGGGTTCGACCTCCAGCTCCCATCGGTGCCTCCCCACCGGAGGATGCGTTTGGTCGCTCTGTGCCAACTTTTAGGTGAGCGCCCTCAGTTAGAGCATCCCTCGGCCCGGCTTTTGCAGCAGAGCGGCTGCGGCGAGCGCAGCCGCCCCTTACACAAGCCCGGTGGAATGTGCGTGCGCGGCCCCGAGCGCCTTCCTGGTCCGGGGCAGCCCGGGAAGAGGCTATAAAAGATCCCCACCGGAGGATGCGTTTGGTCGCTCTGTGCCAACTTTTAGGTGAGCGCCCTCAGTTAGAGCATCCCTCGGCCCGGCTTTTGCAGCAGAGCGGCTGCGGCGAGCGCAGCCGCCCCTTACACAAGCCCGGTGGAATGTGCGTGCGCGGCCCCGAGCGCCTTCCTGGTCCGGGGCAGCCCGGGAAGAGGCTATAAAAGATAACAGACATCTTGGCTAAAACGCTCTTGAACGAGCGCTCGGAGCCATTGTTCAACCAGTAACACTTGTGGCTTCTGGCAGTGCCGTAACCGGAGAAGAAAAACTCAGCAATGCCCGCAGACTCATCCAGGGTAGCTTTAAAGGTAACAGCTGGAAGCTGGATATAAAGGGGGAATAGTTCCAGAGATCAACATATGTTAGTGCTGCGCATAACGATGTGGAGAAACCCAATCTGTGTTGCAAAGAAATCTTGCTCAAAGGGGAGCTGGGGGGAGTCTGTCTGTCTGTCCAGGCAGCATTTCTTAAGGGCTGATGGGCACACGCAGCCTCTCCTGAGGGCAGGATCCTGCAGTGGCCGCGGGGGTGCCGGGTGCCCGCGTGCAGAGCTTGGATGTCGGATCTGCTGGTGCAAATGTGAACGACTTTTTTTCTTTAAAAAAAAAAAAAAAACTCTTAGAGAATAACTTGCTAAGAGAAGTCTCGGAACGCCGCTCTTATCGCAGCCTGGAGATCTTGCCAAGCGCTTAACAATTTGAGGATGTTGCCTCGCGGTGGCTGAGCTCCTCGGGAGGAATGCGCTCCCCAGGAAAGATGAATTGCTCCCTCTTTGTCTCGGTGAAAAGATCCTAACGCGATTATTGAATTTGGTTATTTGGTGCTAGATAGGAAGAGCTAAATTTACCCAGGCTCTTTGTTCTCTTATCGGCGCTAAGCTCCCAAAGTTTCCCCACCTATAAAACAGACAAATATCTACCCGGATTAAACTGCAGAAACCTAGTTACTAGTTTTGCCTAGATTAGTTTAGCAGCGGGGAGGGCTGGGGGGGACTGAAGTGGTCATTAGGGATCTGGCTGATGGATGCGGAGCTCGAGGCTAATGTTCCTTCCCCTGGGGCTCCTGGCTGCCTCCGCCGCTTGTGCCGGGATTAAGATGCTCTGTGGAGGAATTGCAGCCAGGGAACGGCGGGGTCGCTGCTGGCATCTCCTAAGGACCTTTCCCTGTGTTTGCTTTGTGCCCCAAGTCCAAGTTGTATTTTTTTTTTTTTTTGCTTATGTGTGTAGCTACTCCTTTAGCAGAAGAGAAATACTTTTCTCTATATGTGATTGGATGTGAGTTAGAGAGGAGCAAATGCCTGTGATTTTTACTTTTTTAAACTATTTAGTCCATTGCTTCATCAGAGCTGCTGGTAGTTATCTAATTAGTAGAAATGTGCTTGGTTGCTCACTTAGGACATCCTCGTTTTGCACTTGAGGGCGTCTTGGATTTCAGCTGGTAATGATTTATATGGTGAAGCTGCCCAGGTGTTCCCTATCTGTGATCTAAGCAACCTCTTTTCCCCAGGGTTAACTGAATAAGTGGGGAAAAACATAGAAGAGGCCATGTAGAAGCCAAGACACCTTGTTAGCTCTGTGTTTTAGTGTTTCTTCAAAATCGGAACAGTTTGCTACCTTGTGCATCTCTGCTTCCTTTCCAAAGTGCTGAGTGATGTAGGACTCTGTTCTCAGAGGGAAGAGAAGGGTGTTGTGAGCAAACGGCCCGCGCTGAAGGAAGCGGCGCTGGCCCGGTTGTGTTTTTGCAGCCCGGCTGCATCGCACGCAGCGCCCTGCGGCACGCGGCTCCGGGCCCCGCGGCGCCGGCGGCTTCGCGCCGCGCGTTTAAGCGCTTTTGGCCGGCAAGTTGCGGGGTTGGCCCGTGGGTTGTCCCACCGCCGGGACACGGAGCTGGGAAGCCGCGTGGAGAGCCCATTGCTCGCGCAACGTCGCGGCTCTGCGGCTTGCAGGGAGGCCGAGGCGCTGTGAACTTTGTTTTGTTTGGCCGCCGCTTGGTTTTATCTCTGTGCAGCACAGAGCAGCAATAAACAGCAGAGGAAACATGCTCAGATTAACTATATTCAGGCTCCAAATGTTGCTGTTTTGCTTTTACCTGCGCGGGTGCTGGACACCAGTTTGGCAAAGGCAGTGCTGGCTTCGGG